CGTGTCAGAATAAAGAAAAAAAGACACAGCACTGTTTCTCTCCTTGGCGGCCGGGAGCAGGAGACTCCCGGGGTGCCAGGGAGAGTTTGCTGTTTGGAGATCAGTGTCCCTTGTTAGCAGGTAACCAGGGACGCTGATCTCACTGCAAGTGGCCGGAGTCAGCCGTAAGATCACGGCTCCGCCCAGCTGTCAGAAGCAGGCTGTCAGCCGGCCAATGACCGGTACCCTCGGCCAGCTTCAGCTTTCAGCATGGCTCCGATGCATATGCGTTCGGCTCGGCTGAGCCGCTCGTTTTTTTTTTCAGCCGAGCCGATGCATTTGCATTCGGCTCGGCTGAGCCGCTCGGCCATGATCGGGAGCTGTACGGGCTATTGTGAATAGCCCGTACAGCAGGCTCTCGGTTCGAATTAACCGATGGACTCCCGTAACCGAAGCTAGCCGAAGGATCGGCCGAAGCTACGGATAGATTCTTTGGCAGCTTCGTGAATAGACCCCTATGAGGTTGATTTACTAAAGGCAAATGGGTTGTTCACTTTGCAATGTTGACCTCTACTTCATTGGCTATCATGCTGTCATCAACTCCTTGGTTCAATACTTTGAGCCACTGATCCCGAACAAGTGTGCACCTTTTTCTGACACTATTAATCTGCATATTGTTCCAGATCAGGGATTCAGTGTACTAAAGCCATAGGGTCAGCATGCAAGCCAGGAAAATAACAATAAGAGGTCACCATTGGGCCCTGTATTTTGTTTATGACAGGTTTACTTTATGTACCATACAATGTTGTTAAATGATAGTCACCTGTCCCTTTAAGAAAAAGTATCTGTAATTGGTATCGGCAAGTACATGAGGGGAAGTACTTGTACTTGTACTTGGGCCTGAAAAAGTGGCATCGGGACATCCCTACATAGTACTATGTGTCCCCAGTTATGAATGAATAGGATGTGATTTACATCACTACCTGTTCATTCATGAATTTCTCAATGGGGAGAAGCACTCACTACAGAGGCTTTTCCCCATTCAGAAACTGGTGATAGTAAATATTTTACTATCACCAGTTTCTGAATGAATGGGAAACCTCTGTACTGAGTGCTCTCTATTCATTGAGTGCTGAAGCTGCAGAAAAAGGAATTCAGGACTCTGTGTCCTCAATGTCTTTTTATATTTCAAAAGGGAAATGTTAGGGGTCTGTTCAGACCCCAGATATTTCCCCAAAGCCCCCCCAACAGTAAAAAAAAGTAATAATAATTAAATAAACGAATAAAAAATAAATTAAAAATGTGTAAAAAAAAAAAGCACAAACCTCCCCTCCCCCACACACACATAACATACACATGCACCATATTGTGGTGTATGCCATGCACATGCGCTGCAGTGCATTGTTAGAATGCATTGCAGTCCATGATTTTTTTCTTTTGTAAAAAAACATTATTTTACTGTGGCAGCGCATGGCAAAGCTTTGTGAAGCATTGCCATGCGTTGTGATACCTTGTGTTGCGATTAAATATATGCCTGTATCATTTTATCACAACACCAACACAGCGCAAAAACGATTTTTAACATAAATCGCTTATTTACAGTTTAGCATTCTTTCATTTTTTTTATAATCCCCCTTTCCGCAGCCTTTATTGGTGTGGCAGTATTAAAGTAAAGTGTTAGGCCTCATTCAGGCCCCATTCACACCAGGGCAGAAGCGTTTCACTGTGGTTTCTACGCAATTTTTGAAAGAAGTTTTTGGCTGTTTTTAGTCGCGTTTCAGTGCTGAAACGCAATTAAAAACGCTCAGAAACGTGCTGATCAGCGCGTTTATATTGAAATCTACATGGAAAATGTGCTGATCACATTTTCCATGTAAAAAAAAGTAGCTCAGGGAGCATTTTGTGCGGCGGGTTGTTCGGATCACGTGGAGCCGAACGGTTGCATGAACAGTCCCCATAAGAATGTTGTATGATTGTATTATAATTATTAACTATATTATTATCTATTTGTAATTCTTAACCAAGATTGTAATGCAAAACTTTATGTTCATGCAAAGGGAGATGTATTTTCTCCACCGCTGTGCAATCCACAATAAACAAAAGTGAGTCCCACACCTTGTGCACACAGAACTAACCACAGTAAATTGAACTCTTTATGATGAAATGTTTAAACAGCTTTTGTTAGTAGTCCTGGTAAACCTCAAGTATTTATACTCCTCTTATAGCCATGTCAAACGGCATAAACTTTGCTTAGTAAATACAACACAGTAATACAATCTAAAAACTTTACTTAAAACGATGTGTAAAGACAATTCACTCACATCCTCTAGTGCTGTGTCACACTAGTTAAAAATCACTTTGATACTGTAATAACATGTGAACTGCCTAATCCACTTTAACTCTTGGCCATCCAAAGAATACTCCTTAGCTAGCTGGCTGGGAATTGAGGTGCATGTTTAGACTCGTTCCTGACTTGTTTTGTCACTTTAGACTTTATCAGGAGGACTTTATTTTCTCAAAAGCAGTAGAAAAAAGATTAAATGCAACTCACCAGATTTTTTTCAAAATTAGTTCATAGTACAGACATAAAGTTCACTGGGCCACCAATCATCATTTAACAAGTAAAACTCACTTCCCTTGGGTAGAATGCTTAGGTGTGAGCTAAAAGTAAAGAAATGTACTGCTGTAGACATAGCTTTTATCCACAAACCTCCAGGATATGGGAAGTCAACAACAAGTATGCTATGTTGTTTGCTTTACTTGCATGATTTAACAGACAATGTTCTCTACCAGATTCTGTAAATTAACCTAGTCATAGAGAAGAGATCACGTTTGGGAGATTTGACCACCAAAACCACTTTTTTTTTTTATAAAGGTCATTTCATACATGTTCACAAGTAGTTCAGCCAAATACGCATAATGATACACTGATGAGACACTCCTGGGGCATATTTAATCTTAGGGAATGAATAGCAATCATCAATATTAACCAATATATTTGCAGTATGTCAATGTGTATGAATGATTGTGTCATAGTCACTAATTATTTCTTGTGTTTTCGTCAACAGGGAAGGGAGAGCTGCATTGGTCACATCTTTCTGTGTCTTTAAGTACATGACTCTTTATGCCATGATCCAGTTTGTTTGTTTACTGCTACTCTACTGGGTAATTTCTTTGTACATGTTCTCATTAGCCTGATTGTTTGCTATAGGTTACTATACATACTCAAATATCAGGGTTCAGGCTGTAATTGATTTATACTTATAATATATAACTCATATGAAAAGTGATAACTATAGCACTTCTTTCTCTTTTTTAGCAAGTGAACATCTTGTCAAACTACCAGCTTCTTGTCCAAGATGTGGCTGTTACGATTGTAGTCTGCTTGACAAGTAAGACACATTACAATACTCTTTCTTAATTTGCATATGACTACTTATCCACTCAAGCTATATCTGTGGCTGATTTTCAGAGGCCAGCAAAAGTTTGCAAAAGATAAAACCAGAAGGTGCTTAACTTGTTAATATCAAATGTTCCCAAGTAATTGTGCGATAGTTTGGATGTTAAGGTGAACTCCAGCCAATTTTTTATAAGATCCTTTTCTTTTGGAGACTGATGTTGTCACCAGCCTCAAGAAGATTTTTCAATGGAAAATATATAAACAATTCACTCCGGAAAAAGGAGAGCAATTCACAGCAATACTCTAATAGCCACTAGGGCATGAAATAAAGGTAAATCTCCTGAGTGGGGACATAACAATTAAAACCCAAAAGGATGTTCCCCCTACTCGCCTGATCAGAAAGGTCAGGAATTCAACTTTTAACTACTCATACATTGGAAGATATAGTGGAGGTAAGAAGTCCATGTGTGGGGCACAAACAACTTATCCTTTGCTATCCACTTGGGTATGAAAAGGAAAGTATGAAAAATGTGTATCTCCAAACCTGCCCATGTATGCAGTCATTGTATTACCCTGTCTATAGTCCTATTTATGCTCCAGAATTAACAAGAGTCAAACAACAAAATCTTTCAGTCAATGCAGTATGACCAAAGAGCTAAGGATATGGCTTTCCTATAACTTACAATACAGTTTTTTTCTCTATCTCATTACCATACATAGAGTACTATTTACTATACTATTCTGATTTCCTTACTTTTGTAAGCCTACATAATTCATTTTGAAGGCATTTACTGGAACATGCAATTACCTTGCTTTGACAGTTATAATTCCAGTACATTTAAAACCAGATTTTAAATATTGCAGTGCAAGTGGGATGGGGGCCAGAACAGTTGCCTATCCTTGGAACATAGTATGTACATTATCAAGTGACAACAGTTACTGCATGCCGAAAACAGGATAGATGATGCCATCTGCTGACAATTTAATTCAGAAGCAAAATCAGTTTGCATGTAAAAACAATTGTTGGCTGAATGCTAATGATTTGACAGCAAACGTTTCCTAAAAGCCCAAAGATTGTATAATCAATGCTGGAAAGAAACACAAAATATTCGGTTTTGCAAGTTTAAAGTATAGTTCAAGTTATTAATAACTACTACATCATTGTTTATGTTGCTAAATATATATACTTATATATTTGTTTTTATTTTTTTATAGTGAGCCTAAACCATGCATATCCAAAACTAGCACCATACCGGCCTCCAGCACAGCTTATGTCACCTCCGCTCTTGCTCTCAGTAGTCATTCATGTAATTGTCACTTCAGCCATTCAGGCCTATGGATTTATTGTCGTCCAGCAACAAACATGGTATTCTGTGCATCCTAGTAGGTAAGAGCTTCTCAACTAGTAGTATGGATTCCACTAGGGATGCACCAATACCGATACTAGTACTTGTACTCGCCCAAATGCTCTGATGCCTAGCCCGATACCTGAGCTTCCAGTATCAGGAAGCCGGGCAGCATTACACGCTGCCCGGTTTCCTCATTGGTCATTAAGTTTGCCAATCAGGAAGACGAACAGCGAGTCATTACCTGCCCCTGGATTTCTGATTGGCCAGAAAGCCGGCTTCATGCTCCCTTGTCACCTGGTGATGAGGGAGCAAGGAGATGGCTTCCATGCTAATTCAGAAGTCGGCTGGCGAGTCTTTACATGCCTCCCGGCTTCCCGGCTAATCAGGAAGCCAGGTGGCAAGTTATTGCACGCCGCCTGGCTTCCTTAATGGGACTTCCGGTATTGGTATTCGGTGTCGGCGAGTACCAAAAGAAAAATATCGGTACTCGATACCAAAAAAAACGGTATCGGTGCATCCCTGGAGTCCACAAACGGCACTTCTGATCTGATCAAGGATTACTTCTGTCTGATAAACTACATTTACAACAATTGTGTAAAGCTTTTACAAACCATAGCTTACATTGCAAAATGACCCAATAAACGATTTTAATTGCAAAAAAACCATTTGGGTTTTTTTTTGCAAACATTTCTACACTATTTCATACAGACAAAAAATTTTCCCAAGTCAAGGTACAGGAAAAATTGTGAACATCAGCTTTTAGAAAGGGGTTTATGGGTTAAAAAGTTAACAAACAGTGGTGTAGAATTTCTGAAACGAGCATAACAATTGATGAGTACAGACAGATTAAATAATGCACAAAATGGTGTAGAGTAGGGATGTCCCGATACCGATGCTAGCATCGGAATCGGGCCCGATACAGGGCCTTTTGACAAGTACTTGTACTTGTCAAAATGCCCCCATGCCTAGCACCGAAGCTTGCACTGTTTTTTTTTCTTACCTTCTGTGGTGGCTGGGGTCCTCTGGGAAGGCTGGAGGAGCGTCACGTCACTGCTGGGGGCGGAGCTCCAGGTGGGGTGTAATGTAGTTGGCCGGCGACCTGGAGCTTCGCCCACAGCAGTGACGTGACACTCCTCCGCTCTGCCGCTTAGAGCTGCTGACGTCAACCTCACATGAGAGGAAAAAAAGCTATCGAGAGCTCGTGAGGCACCTCCATTGCACAGGCACCATCAAGTAAGGGCCTGTGTTCAAATCATGTTTGGAATCGGATGGATCATGTTACTATCTATGGATCATGATTTTAAACTAATACTCTATATGAAGTACACACTATAGTACACACACTATCAGTTTAAATCATGATCTATAGTACATACATAATATGTAGTTGTACTATAGATCATGATTTAAACTAATAGTGTGTGTACTATAGTGTGTACTTCATATAGAGTATTAGTTTAAAATGTTAAAATTTTATTGCCATATACTATGATTGCATTTCATACCCACATCATGAATTACTATACTCCCATAGCACCTCTGTCAACCTTTTACAAATACTGTCTGAACTAGGAAAGCTTGTTAATAGAATAAATTTAAAGGCAATATTTCTGAGCCACCAAACTGCTAGATTCTGTTTGGAGGTGTGATGCTATAGAGAGTTTCTATAAAATGTGTTGTCCAATCAGATAGTACTGTACTATGGACTGTACTGTACTATGGATCATGATTAACCTAATCATGTTATCAGGGGCGTAACTAGAAATCACAGGTCCCCCCAAAAAAGGTATTGGTAATTGGTATCGGCAAGTACATGAGGGCCAGTACTTGTACTTGGTCTTAAAAAAGTGGCATCGGGACATCCCTAGTGTAGAGGTTAGTGTAGAGGCTCATACAACTGCAATAATCCTTCACAGGTTTAAATTTAGTATAGTAAAATTAAATGTGGCAGAAATTTTTTTTTGTCTAATATGTCACGAGTCAACATAAGTTCTACATAGTATTTATAGTTTATAGGTATCAAAGAGCACATAGCTAAACAGAAAATCACTATAAATTAACGAGAATGGTATAACTGTATATGAATCTTCTTTTTCAGAGCTTGTACATTTGGAAATACCAGTACTTCAAATGTCAGTATGTCCCTTAACAGCACCATATATCCAACAGCAAGTACTCAAACTGGGTTTGATCTGAACATGAGCCATGAGAGCTACGAGACAGCCACCTTGTGGCTGATTACTACTATCCACTGCATAATTGTGGCGTTTGTCTTCTCCAAGGGCAAGCCATTCCGGCAAGCTATATATACAAATTGTAAGTATCACTAAATATATTATAAGCCTTTTTTGAAAAATTAGCTGTAAAACCTTGATTAGAAAAAAATAAATGTGTTTGTTTATTTAACAGAAATGGACAAAAATGTTATTTAAATTGTATCTTTGATGTAAGTTTGAGTACCTATTTACCAAAGAAGTGGTTTAATAAAGGCATAAAAAATAAAAAGTAGGAATTTACCCTAACATTACTACCCAGATAGCAATAAATTGTGCTGCAAGTTTGAAAATGACTTGCTAAACTATTGCAGACTTGCCAAGCTTCACAATTTTGTTGCACAATTACAGCAAGTCTGCATCGCAAGTCTCCAGACTCTTGCTAAGACCTGCAGGACTCTTGCTGTAGGCTTGCCAAGCAATTTTGCTACAAATTTAAAAAGTGTCAACTAGAACTTGTGCTGCAAGTGTTCTGCAAGTCTACCACTTGCCAGGAATGTGTGCAGCAAATTAACAAGAATTACAATTTAACCCTGCACCAAGTTTTTGGCAAGTTATCCTTGCTATCTGGGTAGTTGTTAAAAGCAAATGCAGATTTTATTATCTGGTGAACTGCTAATAGTAAATGTGCAGATACTATCACACAAAACAGTCCAGTAATTGTCAATTTATGAATGTGAACATTTGATTGCTGTTGGCAGGGCCGGATTTACTATCCCTGCCGCCCCAAGGCCAGGTTCTGCTATGCGCCCCCCTCC